ATGGCATGTTCTCTGTGCTCTGGGATGGCATGTTCTCTGTGTGCTCTGGGATGGTATGGTCTCTGAGCTATGGGATGGTTCGTTCTCTCTGTGGTCTGGGATGATACGGGATACAGAATGATATGAGTCACAAGGGGCCTGACAATGAGTTTTAGTCTGTTTTGTTTTTTAATCTTTTCAGAATCAAATTCCCCACATCTTTCTCCGGTAGAGCAGCTAGTGGATGTGAACCACCAGCCTTGTGGTTAGCAGCTGAGAGCTTAACCTCTGTGCCACTAGGCTCCTTTATTTCTCCAAATCAGGGGCTTTTCATCCCCTTACGTGTGTTAAAAGGGCTCTGCTTCTTGTATCGTATTTGTATCTTTGTTGTCTAAGCCAAGACCATAAAGATATTTCCCCTATGTATTCTTTGACACATTTTATGGTTTTAGGTTTTATGATGCATTTGAGTTGACTTTTATACGTAGTGATGAGATCAAAGGTGTGGATCAAAGTTTAATTTGCAGGTGAATATGCAATTGTCCCAGCACCGTTTGCTGAAATGACGAATCTTTCTTCACTTTGCACCGTTGTCTGATGGTCAGTGTTCACACAGGTGTGATGGGTCTGTTTCTGGGCTCTGTCCAGTGGTCTCTGTCCATTTGCATGCCTGCCCCGCGCCACCCTCATGACTGCCCTGGTCACTGCTCTGAGGGGAGAGGGTGCTCGTTCTTGGTCCTTACTCGCCAGGGTCGTGTGGGCTGCTGGTTCTAATCCACTTATGAGTTTCTAAGAAAAAGGAGGAGAAGATCAAAAGTTAAAATTCCAATTGGGATCGAATAAATCCCGTGCGTTAGCTTGCAGAGCAGTGCTGGTCTCCGAACCGTGGGAAAGGCTGTGCGCGCGCGGCTTTCCCCGGCGTATCTCAGGGAAGGAAGTCTGCAACGCATCCTTGTGCCTAGTTGTTGACTGTGACTTACCCCCGGTAGTTGATCTTTTCTGCCGTAGTAGAAAGAGGGGTTTCAATTTTGCCGCATCGATGAGCACGTTGTCTGCGGGGAGACAGTCTTCTCTCTCCCTTTCTGCCGGGACTTTCATTGCTTTGCCCCATCTGCTCGCCCCAGTTCGTCTTGAGCAGTGATCGGAATGGATTGCCCTTGTTTCACTCCTGAGCTTAGGGAGGAAATCTTCATTTGGTTTCCACTGGAAGCCCTTTTGAAAGTCGAGGAAGCTTCCTTCCAGCTCTGCCTTGCTGAGAGTTGCCGTCAGAACGCCTCTCAGCAGACGTGGAGGGAGCGTGTAGAGCATGTAGAGGGTTCTGGTGGTGCTGTGGGTTACACTGGGCTCCTCAAGGCACATAGGATAGATTACATCAATTCGTCTTCAAATCCCAAACCAACCGTGCATTCCTGGTGTGCTCCTCTCACGGTCCTGAGATACGTCCTGTGTCTTGTCAGGCACATCAACATTCTCGGGGTCATATGCCGTCATTTCTCTTGGTCGGTAATCTACAAGCAGAATTGCTAGGCCAGAGGGAGGTATGTCTTTAACACGGTAGAGCCAGCTTACTCTCCTGCAGGCAGGTGTACGTTTGAGTGGATTCCAGGTGCATCGGGCCCTGTCGGTCCTCCTGCCGTTCCCGTCGGTGGGTCACTGTACCGGTTGCACCTGCCTTTTCCAAAGGCACAAAGGTCCTGTTCTTCAAGCGACAGCCTTGCATGGCCCCACTCGACCCACCTGCTCTCACTGGGTGACGCATCTAGAGGCCCAGCCCCTCACTTCCTGCCTGGGACCTGCCTCCAGGCCTCTAGACGGGGCTGCCCTGGCGGCACGTGGGTTTGGAGCCAGGACACGGCAGGCCAGCAAGCTGTGTAGAGCTTCCTCTACAGCCTCCTGCCATCCAGGCAGTTTGTGCAACTGTGCAGCGCAATGAAACAAGTTACACACAGCACTGGGGGGGGGGGGGGCCCTGACTCGACAAGCAGAGGGCCTTTGTACCAGGTTGTGCCCTTACCTTGAGTTTCCATATCATGTTTGCCAAAGAGAGTGGACATCCGTAACGAGCACCCCCACGCCAGCTCCGGGTCCTTAGGGGGCTGGGACGGTCAATGGGAGCCAAGGATTGAGGCATCCTGGCGGACTGACCACTGTAACGGGGAGCCGTAGCAGGTGGATGGCTACCGGGTTGTGCATGGTCGCTCCAGGACAGCTCTCCTCGGGTGTCCGGCAGTGGCCTCTGGTCCAGCCTGTGGCAGGATGCCTGTCTGCCCGCTTCTCACCGGCGTGGCCAAACCACCCGCACGGGGCTGGCGGGCATCTTGGAGTCACTTTCAGGGATTTCTGTCCCTCGGACAGTCGCCCGCCACCCTCTGTCCTCTCTCCCTGGCTGTCTCCTCCTGTCACAATGCTCTCCTCAGAGACTCAGAACTGGGGGGCCGGCTCTTACTGAGACAGTTCACTGCCCCGCCCCACGATCCCAAGCACCTGTGGACCCCCAGCCCCCACAAAGACCCAGGCCAGCACTCAGCCAGCAGGGTATGGCCTGCCCCTTGGGCGTCCTGTGAGTTGGCAGGCGTTCTGGGTGCATGGAGAACCCCAGTGAGGGGAGGGCTGGACGAGCAGCTTAGACTCGCAAAGGGCTCCCGGGGTCCCACAGTCACCCCAAGGAGGACACCACCCAAGTTCTCATCCCAGGCAGCAGACACCCTCTGTGGCCGGTCCACACCGCAGCCTCCATCAGCCACGGGGAGGGGACGTCTGCTGTCTCGCGTGCATGGTGGGCGCCTGACCGCACAGTGCAGACAGGAAGACGAGCAGACGTCGGGCCCTGGAGGGTCTGAGCTGAGCTCCAGCCGCCTTGGCCCCTCGCTAAGGGGTCTCCAGAGCCCCAGCACCCAGACCGGGGGCTCCTGGCCGCAGGAGGAGAGCAAGGGCTGGGGGTGCAAGGAGCTGTGGTGGCCTCGGTTCCCATCCCCCTCTCCTGCCCCCCAGGCTGCCCCTCCCCCAGTAGACTGGCCATAGAGCCACCCCACCCCCACGTATTCTTGCCCAGCTGGCAAGTTCCAATCGCAACCCAAGCTGAGCATTGATTATGCAGGAGGGAGGCCCAGCCCCTCCTAGCCCTGCAGCCAGTGCCCTCTCTGCCCTGCAGCCAAGCCAAGACCTTCATGCTGCCCAGTCCACCCTGACTCACAGCCGCCCTGTGGACGGAGCAGAGCTGCCCCCAAATAAATGAATAATAAGAGTTCTATTGACATATAATTCACACACCGTGCCGCTCAGTGGTTTAAACACCTCAGAAAGACTTGTGCCGTCGTCGTCACCACACCCAATTTTAGACCCTTTTCTCCTTCCTGTACTCACTGTCATTAGCTCTCTGCGTCCCCCACCTTTCCTGCCATAACCCCCAAACAATCCAAAATTTACACCTTGGACCCCAGTAACAATAACAGACTAAAACATGGAAGAACCTCAATTGAAAAGGAAACAGAAAATTATAAACATTCTTAAATCCTTACTGTAAACTGTCATGGAAGGCAACTGCCAGCTGGTGGGTCTGAACCACCGACCTGGCAGTTAAGCAGCCCAAGGTTTAACCCACTGCACCACCAGTGGGAGCCCTAGAGAAAGGCCAGCGCTGACATGTGAAAAACCGCCCTTCAGGAAGGCCTGCAGACAGTGCCCCTGTCACCTCCCTCAGGCCCAGGGTGTCGCAGCCGCCCATTGTGACCCTCTAGGACAGGGTAGAACAACTTGGACCCTCACCCCATGGCTTTCCCAGACGAACTCGTTATGGGCGTAGGGAGCCGCATCTCTCTCCAGAGGACGGTGGTGTTTCGAGCCGACACCGGCCCACGTGTCCCAGGCCTCTCCTGGCGCATAGGGAGGGCGGCTGCGCCTGGGGACGGCCTGGAGGGCACGTTTCTAAATGCCGGTCATCTGAGATCTCAGCAAGATGCTCCCATGTACGGAAAAGCCATTTCTGCCCGTCTCTCACTTCAAATGCAGAGCACTATGCGGTGACCTTCCTGGTGTGAATGGTCCCCAGGGATTGGCTCCTGGGGGGTGGGGCTGGGAGTGGCCCCCTTGGAATTGCAGCTTCACCTCTACCCGTGGGGCCCTCACACACACAAGTGCCCCACGTTAGGCCGGATTGACTAGAGAAACAAATCCAGGGACACTCGTGTGTGTAAGAGAGCACTTTCTATCAAAGAGTGGTTGCATATGAAGAGCACATCCTGCCCAAGTCCACGAGTCTGATAGCAGCCCACATGTTGGATGATGTTCATAAATCCCTCTCCAGACTCACGCAGCACTTGCAGTGATGCAGAGGCCGGTGGGTGTAGCGTCTTGTGGATCCAGTGGTGATGGACCCATCTCCAGGCTCAGGCTCCATCAGCGTGGCTTCTCACCAGGAAGGTGAAGCAGAGGGAGGGAGGGTCTGGCCTCCAGGGAGATGAGCCATTTATCTCAGTCAGGTCTCCAAAGGACGGCATCAAGCTGCGACCTGATTGGCAGGCTAAACACCCCCCCCCCACCTCTATTTACGAAGCTGACATGAGATGACGTAAGCACCACATGCCCTCAGTGTCCTGGGGACCTAGGTAGTGTGTGTGCAGGCCCAGGGGCCTCCCCGCCCCCCCCCTCTTGTGGTATAGCTAGCACCACTGAGGCTGAGGGAGGTGGCTGCGGATCAAGGCCTTCCAGCCGGGCGCCTGAGACCCTGACCACTGCTCTGTCAATGCTCAAGGTCCCGGCTACCTGCTTGTCTATCTGAAGGCATCCCCCCCACCCCAGCCACATGCCTGAGCCTGGCTCTTGCCTTTCAGACCCCGACTGGGCCTCTCACACCCTGGGCGTGTTCATCTGCCTGAGCTGCTCAGGCGTCCACCGCAACATCCCCCAGGTCAGCACGGTGAAGTCAGTGCGCCTGGACGCCTGGGATGAGGCCCAAGTGGAGGTAGGACCTGCAGGGAACCCAGGGGGCGTGGGGTGTGGGGGGACTCAGGGACACAGAGAGGGGAACCCAGAAGGGCACGGGGTGGGGGAAGACCACACACCATGGGACATGGGCTTCTTGGTTGCTCTCTGGCGTGAACACTGCCCCAGCCCCCCAGCCTGTGGGAACCCCAAGGGCAGCCCCTGTGGCTGCAGGTCACAGGGGATGCGACTTTGGGGTCTCTTGCACAGAGGCTCCCTGCACCCCTAGTTCTCCCTCCTGGGCGTTAGGAGAGGGCCCTGACCTCACCACACAGTCTCGGGCGGAGTGTTTCCTTCTTGGGGGACCCCCAAGACCTTGTCAGACACCTGAGCCCCTTTGCCTCCTGCCAGCCGCCTGTCCCCAATGCGCCCCCCCACCGCCCCGGAGCGTGGCTTTGTCTGTCCGTCTTTGGCCTTTTAGGGTCTTCAGGAAATTGGGCCTTGGCACTCCCCCCTTCCCCCACAGGGCTGTTTCCCTCCAGCTTGGCTCAGGGTTTTTTTTCTCATAGAAAAAAATTTACTATTTTTTTATAATGTCAAATTTATACCTGGCCTGTGGCTTGGGGGTTTGTGGCTCCTTAACACCAGCGTGGCTGTTTAAAACAGCAGTTGCACGGGAGCCAGGCTTCACAGCCATAGCTCACCCTCTTTCCGTGAGCAGCCCCCCCGCGGTGCTGAGGCCGGGGCTCCATTCTGCAGTCTGCACACATTTTCTTACGTCACGTTGGTCCCAACCCCACAGAGTCCACACACACACCCCACCCTCGGCCCCCAGTTCCATGCTCCTTCTTCCAGCCCGGTCAGGCCCCCCTCTGGGTCTCTCCCTCGAGGAGGCCACCCGCAGGCTCTGGGCTGGGCTGCTCTGAGGTCGAGCCCCGCCCTGGGCGGGTGCCACCTTGTCCTCCCACATTCACACTGTCACCCTTCCAACTGTGTCAGCAGCCCAGAGGGAAGCCCTGTTTTATCCCCTGGTCAAGGGTTTCCTGCCTAACATGTGAGCGTTCTCCGGTGGTGGTGGGGGGACCCCTGCTTGCTAATGTTTCAAACTGGCTTCAGAACAGCAGTAGGTCTGCAAGCCACAGAAGCAGGAAGAGCTGCGTGGTTACTGGGGCGGGCTGCACTGGCCCTCCAGGTCAGTCCAGGGAGAGGACATTGCTTACATCTCCCCACCCAAAACCCAAGATTCAGGATGCCTCAGTCCCCGTCGAGGGGGTACAAACAAGTCTTCGTAGGGATCTGAGTATTTTCATACCCTCCTGGGTCCGGTCAGCCCCTCCTGTTGGCTCTTCTCGGGCCGCTGTCCCGTGCCTCCCTGCAGTGGTGTCTGCTGTAACGAGCAGTGATCAAGGCGGGGAAGCCGGGTGCTTGTTTCTGCCGGGACACTAACAAGTAGCATGGCATCGGGGGTCCCTGCTCCCCCATCTCCACCCTCACTTCCAGGAAGAGCCCCCACCATGGGCCCCGTCCAGCCCCCTGCCCTCCAGGTCTTCATGTCCTTGGCCATCGGAGGCAGGGCTGCAGGGGAAGGGTGGCCAGGAGGCCACTCCCTGTGAGTGGCTCAGGGATCCCTCCGCAGAGACCGGCCAGCCTGTCAGCCCATCCCCTCTCCAGTCTCCCCCTCCCCTGCTGACTGAGGCCCGCCAGCCCCCTGCACAGGCTGCTGCCCGTTGGGACACCCTGGCCCGGTCAAGATGGCCTCCTGGCCACTTGCATAACTGGCTACAAGCATAACTGGAAGCTGCATGGCTCTGCGGGGGGCGGGGCTGGGGGGGCCTCCCTTCAAAGAACTAGTGTCAGGCAGGCGGAGTCAGGGCAGTGGGGGAGGTGCTACTGCAGTGGGAGGGGTCTCTGGCAATGGGGGAGGGATGGCAGTTAAAAGACCAAACATGGTCTTGGTCAGTCAGCCGCCCAGACCTCTTTAAAAGTGTCGAACAGCAGGAAGTCACTCCGAGGACGAAGGTGGGCCTGGGCCGGGCCATGGGGTTTTCCACGGCCGCCTGTGCTGCCAAGCAAGGAGGGGCAGAGCGAAAGTCTGAGTGATGGTGTTGCAGAAGGAGCCCTGGAGGCAGGGTGACCACAGGAGAAAGAACAGCGTCCCGCTCCTGCAAAAAGTTACCATCTCAGGAACCCGCAGGCGGTACTGGCTCGTGGCAGTGAGCTTGGTGTTCGGTTTGGTCGGTGAAGAATATAGAGTGGGTCACGAGTGGCCCAAAGAACAGTCTGTCTTGACCCAAGTCCAGCCAGGATGCTCCTTAGAGGCCAGGATGGGGAGACTTCTTCTCATGTCCTTTGGACGCGTCATCAGTAGAGACCGTCCTGGAGAAGGACATCGTGCTTAGTCCAGTGCGGGGCCCTGCAGGGGTGGGCCGGCTCCGGGGCTGTGCCGATAGGCTAAAACAGGGGCACAGGACTGGGCAGTGTTTGTTCTGTTGTCCATCGGCCACTGTGAGCCAGGACCCACTGGACGTTCCCTGGCAGCAGCAGCAGCAGCAGTAGCAGTGCTCCAGGGAGACCTCAGACCATCCGATAACGAGAGTTTCCTTGGACCGGGAGGAGAGGAGGCAGTCAGAAAATCCCTGTGGGAAGGAGAGTGGGCTGGCCGCCGCCAGAAGGGACAGCCAGTCAGGCCCTTCTGTCCAAAGTGGGGGCGGTGCTGGGGAGAGCTGGGTGCGGACCCCAGCTGGAGAGGGGGACCCTGAGCCCGTGGCTCATCAACCAGCACGTTGCTCCCATGGGTCAGCCGATTCACAGGTCGTCTGGGGAGACGCAGGCCGAGGTGGGGGGGGCCCTGCTCTCTGCCCCATCACTCCGGGACAGGAAGGTGGGGTGTGCCTCCTTGCTGGGCTCGGGGTGGGTGATGGAGCTGGCATCCAGCCAGGCTGACCCGGCTCTCTTGCAGTTCATGGCCTCCCACGGGAACGATGCCACCAGAGCCGCCTACGAGGCCAGCGTGCCCCCGTTCTACTACCGACCTTCCCTCTCCGACTGCCCGTGAGTGGGAGGGTGGGGCGGGCAGGGAGCTGGGGGCAGGGGGACTTGGGGAGGGTGGGAGTAAGGACACATGGGGGCCTGGGAGATGAAAGAGCGGGAGGCTGTGGGGAAGGAGCCAGAGGGACAGAAACTGGGGAAGGACAGGTAGAGGAGGGAGGGAGGGAGCCTGGGGAGACTCTGCCTGGGCAGGGGTGGGCGCAGAGAGGACCTGCCGGTGGTGAAAGGTGGCAGGGAGGGGCTGTGCCACGGAAGGGGCCGTACCACGAGGCCCCCAGGAAGCTGTCAGGAAGCAGGTTCACTGCCCTCCAGACTCTGGGACTAGTGGGCAGGGACCAGCAGATGGGGCATTGGGAGGGAAGGTGCCTGAGGGTCTGCCAGGCCCAGCCCCACTGGACCCCACACAGGCTTGCTCCATGTCCAGCCTCTTCCTCCAGGCAGCCTTCCGGATCCACCAGCCCCTGGCACAGCAGACCCTCAGGTCACCCTGCCCAGAGTCTGAATCCAGCCAGGAGGTGTGGGCAGTTGTTGGGCCATCTACTGTCCTGTCTTGGAGACCTGTGACCAGGTTGCCCCCACCCCTCCCCCCTCTCCCCACTTGGGCACTGACCAATGCCTGCATTGCTAAAGCCCCCCTGTATTCTCTCCCCTTTCAAGCTCCTGAGCACTGGAGTTAATGGCGCGAGAGGGACATACCCAACCTGCCCCCCAAGGCTCCCTAAGGTGGCAGTCCCCCTACCCCGGCGGAGGTGACTGTGGGTGCTGCTGGGACTTAGGAACTCAGGACTAGGTCAACCTCAAGAACTGTGGGTCGGCCTCCTGACACTCAGGGCTCCTTCCAGGGGCTGCATCCCAACACTGAACTCCCTAGGAAGGGCTGGAGAAGACCACAGGTTCTCCCTGTACCTGCAGGGACCTGACTCTCAGAAAGTGCCTCTGGGTAGGAGGGAGCGGAGAGGAAGAAGAAGGAAAACTGGATGGATGGATGGATGGATGATGGCTAGAAGGATGGATGGATGAGTGGGTAGATGAGTGGGTGGACAGATGGATGATGGATGGATGGATGGGTGGGTGGGTAGAAGGATGGATGGGTAAGTGGATGGATGGATGGATGGAT